CCAGATTTCGGCTAAATTATTCTTGGCAGGACAAAACTTTTGTGAGGCACCTCCGTACGCTGCGATCGAACAGCATTTAAAACAAAATCTCGTTCTACTTGGCCACTTTTTCTCTCTCTCTCTCTCTAAATCATTCTTTGATGTCTTCGCTGTAGTACAATCATGGAATGCCTCTCGTTTTGGAGAAAAGAAAAACAAGGAAATGTTTACGTCGTAAAGTGAAATGCCGACAAGAACCAGAAAAAAAAAACAAGAAAGAAGCGTCTGTACATGGATAATGAGGATGTTCATGACGATGACGATGACAATGCATGTGTACATTACCCTGCGTTCCAGCCCAGCCAATCCAGCGACCAAAGCCACAAAAGAAAAAAACACAAGGACACTAACCCCCTAGAGACAAATCCCATGTCATTACCAAACTCAGAAGGAATGAAAAAAAACCCCCCGTGAGAATGCACGACGAATACCCGGCTACCTCACACCCCCGCAAACACCCCTCTTTTCCACTCACTCACTCACTCACTCACTCACTCACTCACTCACTCACTCACATACCCAACACATACGCATTCCTACCCGCAACCGCATTATTCACCGCGACCGCAAAAGCCGCAATATCAACATTAACCGGCAAGTTCTTTTTGGGTTCGAGAAAGGGGAAAGCGACGCTCTTGTCGCGCACGCCCAGACTATCTACATACAGCACGTTGGGGAAGCTCTGCGGCGTAAAGGCAGGCCAAGCGTTGCTAATGAGCGCGTCAAAGGCGTCGGTGGCCATGTTCCTGGGTAGTTGGGTAAGTTTTTTTTTGGATTGATTGATTGGAAGGAAGGAGAAAGGAGAAGGAGAAGAATAGGGGAGAGAGAGAGAGAGAGAGAAAGAGAGACGTACATGATTGCCCTATCATAATTCAGCACATCATTCACGTCCTGCGTCAGCGTCCACGAAAAAACGTGAAACACGCCTTTTCGCGCGCCCGCATTCCCGACGATTTTGCGTTGAGCGCGCAGTTTGGCAAGCTGGTCTTGCTGCATGGTCGCTAGGTTGTTGGTTTTGCTGTACGCGTTGTACGTGGGAAAGTTTGCGCTGGTGTAGATGCCCTGGTTTGCGAATGCGCCAAGCGTGATGTCTCGAGGCAGCTCGACGATGAGCAGGATAGAGGCTCGGTCAGTGATGAAGTCGGCGAGCTTGTACCGTGAGAGATCCGTGGTGCTGGGGTTGTTGATGGTGAAGCGGTAGTTGAGTTTTGTCAGTGTGGTGAAGAGGTCGTTCCACTGGGCTTGGCTAAGGTCCTTGTAGTCCTTGTCCGTGTCAATTGAGTGGCTGATGTTGATGATGACGAGTTCCTTGTACTTTGCCGTAAAGTCGTTGACTTGTTGGATAATGGTACTGAGGTCCTCGCCGTTACCGCCCACCCAGATATTGCCCACCTTGCTGTAGTGACCGGCTACCCACTTGCCTCGGGAAATCACAGGCCGCAGGTCAAAGTAGCGCGACCCGGCTAGGAGCTGCTGGTAGAAATTGAGGTACTGCGTTTGTGTGTTTGGAAAATTTGCGCCGACGGTGCCTATTTGAAAAGTAGTCATGCCTGCATCATGGCTGCCAGGCATGCAGATGTGTCTGAGTGTTCGGTTTGCCAGCGATCCCATACTCTGCTGCATCCAGCCCGCGTATGATGCACTGTTGGACCAGAAGTTCCCGGCTTCATCGCTAGACAGAATCCAATTCACTGCTGCATCGTGTCGGAATCCAAGCTGAATGTCTGATTTCTCTGGGCTTTGCTCCGTCGACATGCCGTCTAGTGATATGGTAAGCTGAAAGTCGGATTGCTTTCGCGCCAACACCGTGAATTTGTTCGAGGTTCCGTCGATACTGTAGTATGCTTCTCCGGCATCATCTTGAGTGTGTCCTCTTCCACCAAATTCAACATGGACTTTTGCAGCCGCTCCTGTTCTGTGCATCAGTGTCGGTGGAGCGCAAACGGGGAATTTTTCATACCTGCACTCACACTAGGCCAACTCCATGTATCCATCTGGTAAGAATGTTGGCCAGCCAGTGTCCAATTGAATGGTGACCCATTCACTAGGGTCAGAAACCCATCTATGCATGAAAAGTTAGCCGGATACATTGTCGTTGCAGATGCATCAACCGACCATAACCCATGAAAGATAGCTCTTCTGAGTCCTTTGCACTTGCAATTCTGGCGTAATCTGCTTGTTGCAGTCGTTGCTGCTCTTCACGTCTGTCAGGAGCAGCGTAACTTCTGTAGTCGACCCGCGCTCCATGGACGGTGCCATACTGAGCCATCAATATACATATTCCCCATCCTCCAAGACGCCTAGAATAGGGGCGCATAATGGCAGAGGGTCTCTCAGCCATATGTATTAGCCTGTTTACGCTCTACTGTACGGGCCCTTGTCGTTTTTACCGAACGCGCGCTGCTTCTAGCCAATTGATCAATGCTTGTGCTTGTTAACACGGCGCATCCCTGAATTAGAACCAGCTGTCCTTACCTGTTGGAGGCGCGTCGTAGCTTCATTGAGAGAGCGAGAAGTGGATGTTGCGGCTGTAACTTTCTTGATTGGGTTGCGCTGAGGTTCCAGTTGCATGTCCACCGGCCAATTCCACGTCAGAGCATCTGCGGATGATATACCAAGAGCTCGTCTATTTGTCGGTGTGCTGGATGTTATGAAACGTGGCGCAAGGTGTGGCATGAGTTTAAGCGGTTTGGGGCTTTGGCTCAGAGTTTGGTGGCTGTGTTCTCGCCCGTCGCTTCATTGTTGCAGGATTTGAGATAGTGCCATGATTGCCCGCGGCCTGCTTATTATTATTATTATTATTCTAGTTTAACGTCCTTTTTCAGCCCGAAGGGCTATATAAGACGTGTAGGGTTCTTAGGCCTGCCCGCGGCCTGCTTAGTTGACGCTCATCTCTGTGGAATTTATGCGACCCAAGCGTAACCGACTGTGATGTAAGCCATGCACGTGGGCATGCTGCAAAACGTATGAGATGAGAAAGAAACCCGATGATCAAGTGCATGCATGTGTCGTTAACCCCTGGACAAAAACCTATAGCACGGCGCTAGGACCAAGAATGGCCAACGGCAACGGGCACAGAACTGCATCACCTGCCAGATCGATACCGCATGTTGGGCACGTTGCAAAGTCATCCGTCACCGAGACATATTCCCTCATTCTCTACCTACAGTCTTGATTGGGCTGCATGGGCGTTCACCTGTCCACGGTGATCATCCACCCGTCTTCGAGCACTTTGCCATTCGCATCAACACCACCCCACACCACACACGTCGCCCCATCAACCTCGGTGCCCTTGGAAACACCAAAGTAGCCGCGTGCACCTAGTCCCTTCTTCGGCTCTCCTGGTATCTCCTTCTCCTCCTCTCCCTTTGTGTCAACGTACCGATAAATTACCTCGGCCCATTGTGACTCGTGCGTGTCCTTCTTGAGGTGTGCGCGAATACTGTCCTTTGCAGCAGCGGCTGATGATCGTTCAGGCGGAAGCTGCAAGGACCATATATCATCGATGAATTCTTCGTTTTCCGTCAACCCACCAATAGCCAATAGGTACTGTCGTCCTTGGCCAGTGGTGACTCCTACGAGTCCAGCGTTTGAACGCGCCCGCGGGGCCACAACGGCGCTACCATCCTTGTCCGATTGCTTCACTTCTTCCCAGCTCCAGCCCGTCGCTACTGGCTTAGTTCCGCGTTCTGCATGTGTCCAGACATGGGAAACGTCCACAGATTCCGTGGCGCCGGAGGTAAAGGTCTCGACGCCTTTTCCACCAAAGCGATACAGGCGACCACCGACAAGTGCCAGGCTCGCGCCTTCTCGGGGATGGCCTGATGGTGATGGTATATTGGACCACGTCCGCGTCTTGACATCAAAAGCAAGCGAGTCATTCAGCAGCTGGCTGCTCGCTGTATCACGGCCGCCGACAATGAAGATTGTACCATATGAGTTCGACTCTGGCGGCTCTGGTACGTGCGATGCAGGGTCTGCGGGAGCTTGCGGTGCCTTTTCAACATACGTCGTGACCTTTGGGCCTGGGAGATCTGAGCTCGCCGAAGCGTGGCCCGATCGCTGGCTAGGATAGAGAGTGCCCTCTGGCGGGTCAAGGTACGACCAAGTGTTTGAAACCGTGTTGAACACCCAAATCCTCCCCTTTTCATCTGCTACGCCTTCGCCTTCTCCGCCAAATATGTATATATGGTCGTCAATCACAGTTGCCGTGTGTCCTTTTCTGGAAACAGGTACGTCATCCAGGCCATTTGCTGCGCGCGCAGAGTACTTGGTGTAGTCGGCATCAAGCACGCCGCTTGAGGGTAGGATCACAACGTGCATCTCATTGTCCGCAAGCTTGCCGGCTTCAGCTTCTCCACCAAAGATGTAGGCTCGGCCCTTGACTACCGAGACGGTGTGGTTCGATCGTGCGAGCGGAACGGAAGAGATGCGCGTGAGATCTGCTTTAATCGGTAAAGTTGGATGTTTTATGCCCTTCATGAGGGCTACGGCGCCCCCGAAGAGGTTCTCAGCCGCAGAGAATACTCCGGCTGCCCCGGATGCCATTGTAGCGGAGGAGGGGCTTGGAAAGAGTCGGTATGTATGTTCTTAGATGTTAATGGATTCTGTTTGATCATGCGCTGATTTGCAAGGTAGTGGGTGTTGCAAGAAGAGGGGTTTGTTGTCCTGCGGAGCTACGAGAGCTACAGGGTAAGCTCGAGCATTACGTCACATCATGAGACCCCTAGTCGCGCGTATTCTTCGCAACGGCGGATACTCCAGCACGCTATATTCTGTGAGCACAAACGCATGTGAAAGGCAACATGATGGAGTTCAAGCGACAAAATAAGGCGGGTTTCTTCAGAGACCCGTAGGCTTATCCGTGAGAGGTCAGGGCTCTCGAGCGTGGATCGATCACTCATGCAAAAGGCTTCAACAGAACAATTCACGCCATACGAGCCCCAATGAACCGCAATCACCGGGCTCAGACATTGATGGCATAGAGAGGTGATTTATTGATATTAGTGAGCGGCAGAAAAAATATGCCGAGTGTGTTCTTAAATATTCGGCGCGAGTTGGTCAGACTTGACGCATCGTTCCACCTGTGCACTAGTTAGCAGTGTCCTGCAATCAAAGTACCAAAAAGCCTACCGTATCAATTGAAGCTTGCAGGAAGCTGCGCGCTTCGAGGCCAACCCAGACCTTGAGCATAGAGAAATCACCGCCACGGATCATGGAAGAGCCGCTTTGCGTGCCTAATTGCCGCAGTATCGGGAGTGCACTGTTGCCAGTCAGTATGCGGTCCAGAGGTGCTATCGTCAGTACTTACCCTGCAAAGAGGTCCAGATCTGGATTCAAGCTCCTGCCAATACCTTCCAACAAAAGTATGCTGAGAACAACGTTCACAAAGTCGCCCTCGAGGCGAACATGGTGTGTCCGGACCATGGATAGAACCTCGTTAAGAATATCGCCAATCTTGATGTTGCCGAGAGCAAAAGTACGGCTCTTGACTCCCAATACCAAATGCTGCATGCGCAAAGCGAACACCTCCCGGTCGATGACTGCCTGCGGTTGTCTGCATCGCTCGACCATCAAGTGGCCTGCTTTATAGCCATCAAACTCGGCAACAGCCTTGAAGAGATCAAGGAAATTGGTGCGATTCTTTGCATTTAGTTCCGTCACTAAGCCCGTGTCGATAAAGATAAGCTGAGGTCGGTAGCCTTCGTTGTCGAGTTCCTGCAGTTTTGCTTGCCATTGCTGAGGGTTCTTCTTATGTGGCCTCAGACGCTCCAGCACCTCTTCAGTGACATCGAGAGACTCTCCAGGACCTGATCTTCGGTCTTCCTTCCTGGTCAAGATGGGTACGTCGAGTTGCTCAGATTTGTAGAACCGGACCATTATATTTCCTGGATGCAGGTCGGCGTGGATAAAGTTGTCGATCAGGACCATGGTGAGGAACGCATCCAGTCCTTCATTGGCGATATCCCTTTGGAAAACTCCGCCTCCGTTCTGCAGAAAGTCCTCTAGGGGAATACCCTGGGCAAATTCCTCAATGAGTACATTTCGCGTAGTGTAGTCCGTATAGGGGTAGGGAAACCAAGCTGTTGTGCGATCCTTGAAGTTCTTTCGGAAAAGCGTCAGGTTTGCGGCTTCAATACGCAGGTCCAGTTGAAGCTTCATCATTTCGCCGAATTGTTCCACTTCATCTGGAAACGAGAACCACTCCATGGTAGGTATGGCGTTGATGATGGCGGCAAAAAAGCCCATGATTCGCAGGTCCCTCCGCACTATCTTCTCGATTTTCGGGTGCAGAACTTTGATAGCGACATGGCTTGAGGGTATTCTTGATGGTGAGCTCTTCAGTGTCACATTGACATTCTTCTTGATCCTACGCGCCAGGTTGGGATGCTCCTCGTGATCAAGGACATTGTTCTTCAGTGTCGCAAGGTGAGGCTTCAGCTTCGCCTTGTACACCTGGGCAATAGCGCCCACGCCCAGCGGCTGCTCGTCGAACTCCTCAAAGATGTCGTCAAAGCGTTTTCCGTCAAAGGCGGCCTCGATTGTGCGTTTTGTTGTTTCCAGCGAGTGTGCAGGCGCGTTGGAGTGCAGTGTTGACATGACTAGACACATTTCGGTCGGGAAAACATCTGTTCGTGAAGCAGCCCATTGTCCAAGCTGGGTTGAGTTAGTCTTGATACTACATGAGATGGCCACTTGACATATGGAAGCATACCTTGATGAAGGCAGCCCCAGCCCTCTCCATGGATCCTACCAAGAAGCCATACCACCACAGGGTCCCGCTTCGTTCATTGTCTCTATCAGGTTGGCGCGAGCCAATCCATACTGCGGGTATGGTGACGATGACGGGAACAAAGATGACGAGCAAGTGCAGGAAGCGGAGGCCGGTGGCCAGCGGCTCGATTATATAGTCGTCGAGAAAAAAGTAGATGCCTCGTCGGTACTTGACAGAGTTTTGCAGCGCCGGCGGGACTTGCTCGTCCAGCTCCTTTCTCGACGCCTCGAGCATTGCCTCTTCGTGCGTCTGGTCGCCATTACTGGCCGTGCTATTGGCCACCTCTACAAATGTGAGCGAACTCAGCAGCGTGCCGCCCGCCGCGCCGGTCGCCGCGCCCGACCATAGTAATGTGCTGCTGTTGAGCTTCGGAGGAGCAAATCGGCGGCGGGCAGAAGAGGCGTTTGCAAACGGGCGGGTTGATGCGCGAGCCGCGAGTCTTGACAGGCCCGGGCGGGTACACAGGCGTCCCCAAAGGAGCGCTGTCCTCATGGTACGGGGCGTGGTGCAGATGCGGCGCGTGAGGCTTCCATGAGGCAACGATGGGCGCCAGGGTTGAACACATGCAGAGTCGCCGCCAGTCGTGACGTCGCGTCGGCGTAAATCCCACGCGACACCGACCCTTGCACATATTCAGTATTTACCGAGGCACTGGCACCTGATTTGGGCATCCCCAGCTACCAACTACTACACAATAGCCCGAGTACTGTCGCTGCTGCATATTGTTGTGGTGGTAGTGCTAGGGCTATCCATACTACGTCACAGTCGTGGAGAATATCGCAGCTGAGCTTACTAAGACTGCAGTCTGGAACGGACACGATTATCACGCAGACCGCTACCTGCTAGACTTATTCTCGGCTGTTAACCTTGCTAGTCTCTAGAAGCAGTACGTATATTTCCTGTTCTTATGTTTGTGCGTTTGCACTAATACAGCCTTGCTTACGCTTCTCATGGCGTTGACCTTTTGCACGTCAAACACACAGAGACACGAGTACTTTAATCAAAGAGACGAAAGTAAAATTTACTACATAACGGAATCATCATCCGGTCAGGTCCACGGCAGTATCCTACGCCGTGATAAACCCCTCAAACCCATTATCCAGCACCTTCCGTGTTATCTCTCTATACAGAGGAAATCCACCTGGAAAGCTTAGCTGCTCCCGGACCTTGCCGGGCACGTTTGCACCCATGTACCAGGAGTTGGTCTGTGGGAGCAGAGTCTTGTCACTTAGTTCGGTAACCTTGTTCCGCCATTCTTGCTCGGCTTCGTGCGTGGGGTCGCAGTAAGTTATGCCCTCATCCCTGAGTCTGATAATGGCGTCGACAATCCAGTCTCCCTGTACCTCGACGCATGTTGGCCCATTGGAGTAGGCTGTCGGGCCGTGGGCACCGTAGAGGAAGAAGCAGTTGCTTAACAGCCAATCAGCCACTGTACGATATTCCAAAGAAGGAGAAGAAAGCACTTACGGGAAGCCACCCAGAGCCATACCCAGATACGTGTAGGTGCCGTTCTTCCATTTTTCCGCGAGCTCAACTCCGTCAACATCCTTCAAACCCATGTTTTTGATGCCTCCTGTGACTGAGTCAAAGCCAGTTGCAAGCGCGATGACATCGAACTCGTGGACAGTGCCATCAGCCAATACAATGCCTTTCTCATTGACATCCTTGATGGGGTTCTTGCTGACGTCAACGACCTTGTTTTCAGGTCTGTCGAGCATCTCATAGTAGTCTTGTTCTAGACTTGGGCGCTTGGTACCGAATGCATGCGGCGGCTCCAGCGGGGCCAGGATCTCGCGCTTCTCAGGATCTGTTATCCGCGCACGTGTTTTCTTCGCCCAGAAGTTGTATGCCTCACGGTTGGCCTTGCTGTCGAACAGGAGATCTTTGTAGGTGGCCTGAGAAATCAAGTCAGCTCTCCATCATCTGCGGTCCACATCAACTACTTACCAACCAGAACTCGAAGCCGCCATTCTCCCACATCTTCTCGTAGAACGCCTCACGCTCCTCTGGTGAGTCATCAAAGGTGTTCTTCTCGGCAAAGTCGTACTGAAAACCAGCAAAGGTTGTTAGTCGCTTCTTAAAGACTTCCTCGTATTCACTTTGCTTCCTCTTCTCTTGCTCCTCCTTTGTCAAAGGCTTCTGTCGCATAGGCAGACAAAGATTCGGCGTTCGAACGAATTGCGTTATACTGGCAGCCTCCTTGGAAGTCTCTTGGGCAATCTGAATTCCAGTGGATCCCGTGCCAATCACGGCAACACGCTTGCCTTTTACATCGACCCCAGAAGCTGGCCAAAAACTGGAGTGATGAATCTCGCCTTGAAATTTGTCCATACCCGGCCAGTCTGGGAAGTGTCGCTTCGCTGCAAAGCCAAGAGCCAGCAGGAAGTACTTGCAGCGCGCCGTTCGGCCATCTTCTGTCTTTACAATCCATCTTGACGATGGCTTATCGTATTGAGCGCTGATGACTCGTGTGTTGAACGCACAGTCCTTCTTAATTTCCAGTTTCCTCTCAACATGCTCAAAGTACTTTTGAAGTTCTTCAGTACCGGGGTATCTGCACGACCAAGTCCAGTCCTGGAGTCTGTCAATCTACTGCGAGTAAGAGCCCCCGAGTCTATGCTTACCTTCCAGACCTCTGGCATGCTGTACTCATAGATGGGCACCTGCGAGTCGACGCGGGCCCCTGGGTAACAATTCCAATGCCAGATACCACCAATGTCGCTACCGGCCTCCATGATCTTGCACTTGAATCCTTGCTGGCGAAGCTTGTGCATCAAGTAAATACCGCCAAAGCCAGCACCTACGATTAGCACGTCGGTTTCGAGCTCCTTTGCATAGTTCTCATTGTTTGGAGTCGGCACCTCAGCCGTCCCCCCAATGTCTGTGCGGAAGTGAACCATGATGGTGATATATACCAGGCAAAATAATGGTCAGTATGTGAGGGAAAAAGTCAACTCGAGGTGGCGAGCTGGTGAATTAGGCTGAGGCGATACCCGTATCTATATATACGTCAACGAACAACGTACCCCTCCTCACACACACCAACTTTTAAGCAGAAATCTTTCATCAAAACTCGTCAATTTTCTATCAGATATAGGGGTAACACGTCGCGAGAAACCGATTTACGCCACCTCTAATGTGTGCAGCCCTCTCGTTGAGGTGCTAGAGGGGGTATTGTCGGTATTCTTGCGACGTGTTCGAAATGCGAAAATCTTCGAGAACGCACAGACCGCCCCGATGACTAATAGGGAGACTACTAAACGAAACCAAAAACAATTAAAAACACCAAATAAAACAACAAAAATCAAAAATCCTATATCTAAACGCCGAGACAGCCTGATCCCGCTGTGGCACCATAT